AAAAGAAAAAGCCCCTTTTTTTGTTAAAAAAAAAACCCCCCCACAAGCACCAGGGGGGGGGCCCCCCCCCCCAGGGTTTTTTTTTGGGGGGCCATTTTCCCGGGGTCCCCCCCCCCCCCCCCCCCCCCCCCCCGCGCCCGCGCCGCCCGCGTGTGCAGGGCATTGGACCAGCTAGACGGCGACGTGGGGCGGGTGGATTTGTCGGAGCAATGGCGCCCCTACTCTCGCCTGAGCATGCAGCAGCCCGAGGGCCCACCGCTCACCAAGATTCAAAAGTTGCGGGTGAGGGGCCGGGGGCCTTCCCAACGTGCACTGTGCAGCATGGCTCAGGTGGCCAGCGTGCGCAGCTTTGCTGCTGCCTGTGCCTTGCACACACACCCCAGCCTCTGGCTGCAGGAGTCGCTGGCAGCGCACCTGCCGGCGGCGGAGCACCCGGCTGAGGTGGGCGCATTCTTGGACCGTGTGCAGCAGCAAATCCAGGCGCGCTGGCGTGTCTCGCTTCCGCCTGGCGGGCCCCACCACGCAGCTGGTGCGGCTGCGCCTGTGGCTCTGCCTGGTGCCATGCAGCAGCAGGCAGCTGCTATGCCAAAGCTTGACGACCCCGAGGGCTATGACCTGCCATCCCGCCAGCAGTTTTCGATGGCAGTGCCAGGCATGCTCAAACAAGAGTGATAAGCGCGTCACTTTATTTTACACCACTTGTAAAGCTGTGGTCGCGGGACCAACGCAATAAACCAACCAGAACAAGGCCACGGCTGCCAACACAAAGCATTGGTAAAGTGCATGGAAAACGGTTGATGAGAATGGCAACGCTGGCGCGCCGTCAAAAACGCGGGTCCCAAGAAACTGGCAAGCATTGATGCGGCAGTGTCAGCATCCCCATGGGGGCGGCAATGCTTCAGCGCATGTCGAAGCTGTCCTGCTCCGGTGCTGCCGCACAGCGCACAAGGTCATCTAAGCTGTCGCATACAGGCTCTCCGCCGCCAACTGAAACCAGAGGCAGGCAGATAGCGCATGGTGATATGTATAAAAAGCAGGATTGGGTTCGACATCATTAATGTGGCAAGGGGTTCCCAGCTCTACCAACAGTGCATGCTACACGAGTCACCCACCGCAGCTGCAGCAACTCACCCATCTTGCCCATCTGCATCTGGTTGCTCTCCTGCTCCGGCGCAGCCCTACCCGCCTCGTGCACAATCGACCGCACCTGCAACGTCGTGGTGGCAGCGCGCGGGCAACAGTGCCATGCGCAAGGTTTTAGCCGTTGTGGCCTGGTGAAAGATCAGTTCAACAGACAGACAGACGCGCACCTCGTTGAGCACCGCCTGGGAGGGCTGGTTAGACAGGCTCTCCTGCAGCAGCATGGCAGGCAGTGAGGCGCAGAGTTGAGTGCTGGGCTGGCACTATATTTACCCATATGTGCTGGGTGCCCCAAGCACTACCAGGTGCCTTACCGCCACGATGGCGTCGTTGAACTGCAGTGCCGCAGGATTGAGCCCTTGCATGAACCACGGGTGCGACTGGATCACCTGCACCAGGCCGATGGAAAACATGAGGCTGTGCCAGCACCGCTGGCGTAGACAGGGACGCTGAGAAGATGGCCCCGGTTGCCAATACCAAGCAGGCAGCGCTGGCCCCAACCTGCAGGGTGGGTCGCTGGTTTGGGTCTTGCACCAGGATGCGACCAATTAGGTCACGCACGCTGTCACTGCAAGCCAGGGACCACATGCAAGAGACATGTTTGTCAAAAGATAAACTTTGCTGCCCACACGCCTATCCTGCTCGCTCACCTCAGCGTCTTGTTCCGCGGGTAAGTGAAGTCTGCTCGCAGGATACGCTGCAGCATCACGTTGAGCTTCTGGTTGGGCTTCAAGTGCTCGTCGCCTGGCCGCCTGTGATTGGCACAACAGGACATGGCGGAAATTCGAGCCAAAGTGAAAAGTGTTGATGGGCCCCCACCGCCATCTGTTTGTTGCACAGGCTTTCAGAATGCTTGTGGCGCTCTACGCACCGGAAGGGGTACTGATCCGTCACAAGGATGAACAGCAGCACGCCACAGGACCACAGATCCGCTTTCTGCGGCAGGCAGGACAGAATTATTGGGGGGTGTGGGGTGTGTGTGTGGGGGGGGGGGGCGGCAGCAATACCCATAGAACACCCCACATCATGCAAAGGAGTGGCTGACGCCGGACGCCAATGATTGTAGTACGAGAAGATAACCAAAATAGCCACCCAAAGCCGAGTAGAGGAGGGCTCAGCGACTGTGCCCACCTGCCCATCATACACTTGGCCCGGTTGGTTGGAGATGACCTCCGGTGCCAAATAAGCAGGCGTGCCCACTCGGCTGGTGGGTGCACTGTGCTGGTTGGCGTCCTTGCTAAACCCAAAATCTGCCAGCTGCAGCAGCCACATTGGCGTGCAAGCTTTGTTCGAATGCGTGCAGCATTCGAATGCGTGCAACTGCTGCTGTGTTGGCATCCTGAGGAGCTCCTGCCTTCCAGAGAAGCTCTTTCCCGTCGCAGCCCAGAACCCTTACCTTGATTAACGGCCGCGGGCTGCCATCAAGCAGCGTGTTTTCTAGCTTGATGTCGCGGCTGCTGACACCCTGCAAACATGCAATAGCAGCATATCAATGATTTGCTGCAAGAGCCACAAACAAGGGGCGACATTTCCAGCGGGCCTCGACCCCGCCGCGCCAACATCTCGGCACTTTTGCAGGGCTCAATCTCAGCGCCCCGCTTGACACCCTCACTCCGCTGCGCACCATGCGGTGGCAGTAGTCCACTGCAATCATGAGCTGCTGAAAGAACCAGCGCGCCTCGTCTTCGGGCAGCCCCCGCCGCGCCGACACGTAGCGGAACAGGTCGCCGCCCGCCGCATACTCCATTGCCAGCACCAGGTGTGAAGAAGTCAAGAACACCTGAAGAAGCAGCCGCATGAGCAGCAACGTTGCATGCGTGCACGCATCATCATTTCCACCACAGCCGGCGATAGTGGGCAAGAGAGCCTCATTGGTGCTGTGGGACAATCATTCGATTGCAAAGCCAGACTCGTAGGGAGCTGAGGCAGAGGAGGGTATGCGGGTGCCCACCTCTCGTAGCCCAATGATGTGTGGATGCCGCAGCTTCATGTGGTTCACTATCTGCACCCACAGGAGGGGCGAGGCACATGTGCAACGTCAGGGAGCACACAACAGCAGCTCTGCCACGCTCGTGTGAAGGCAGTCAATTCTTCGCCAACGCCAGACTGGATGCCTCGTATCAAAACTCAGCCACACGCCAGCTGAAAGCTGGCAGGGGAATCACATCAGCCCAGGCCCCCACCTCTCGCTCTACATATTTGTTGATGTGCTGCATGCAGGGTCGGCAATCGGAATGGACGCACACATGATGGAAGCGGATAACGGGGTTGGGATAGTGTAGGCATACCAGAAGCGTTCACGTGGCACCACAGCACCACCCACAGAAACCATCCGCGCACCTGCGGCCCCCGCTCAATGAACTTGAGCGCAACATGCTCGCCCGTCTGCTTGTCCAGTGCCAGCACCACAAACCCAAACGCGCCCCGGCTCAAGTCCTTGACCTGCAGCAGGCAGAGTCCAGGTCATGCATGAGCGCCAGCTTGATGATGGATGCAGGTCGTGCGCTGTCCCGCCGAGTTGGCTGCATGCGGACGTCGCGCTGGCAGCAAGGCACCGCATGGAGCAAGGCATGCACAGGGGGTACAGGGCTGCACATACAGCAAGCAGGCACAAAGGAGAACTAGTTCCAAAGAAACGCCCCCGGGCAAAAACAGAGCTATGGCGTCGGGAGCTTGCAGGGGCGGGGCCGCCCCACTGAATGGATGCAACCCCGGCGCCAAGGCTCGGCGGCCGCCCTCCACTTCGGCCACCGAGGGCCCGGAGCAAGAGGGGGCGGCTCGCAGGCGCGGGGCAGGCGATCGCCCCGTACTAAAACGTGAGGGAGGCTCTGCCGCCCGCGGTCCAGCGGCTCCACCGCCGCACAGAGCGTCCAGCTGCCCAGAGGCGGCACTGCGGCTGGAAAACAGGCCCACCTTCTGGTAGCGAGGATTGCCGTCCAATATCGACTCCAGGCTCCTGCCGGACATGATCTCCAGTTGGAAGAAATGGGCGTAGCGTGCAGCAGCCAAAATTTCGCCCTGCATGTTGCAGTACAGCAGTGCACCCAGGCGAGACGACGCGTGCGAACGCCGATCTGCCTGATTGGCACCGACTACAGTCCCCAGTTTCGGTTTCGGCACACGAGTTGCAACGTGGGAGCAGCAGCATGAAGATGAAGATGCTTGACGATGAAGGGGGATGACGAGTTCAGGTAGGCCTCCCGGTAAGGATGTGCCCCATGATGGGCATGATGGCCCCCCACCTGGAGGGTCATTGGGGACATCATCCTCAATCATGCATCATTCTCCCTCCCGTTTGTTCTGTTGGCATCCCAGCAACCGTAATACGCTTTTCCAACGAACTCAACCCCCATGAGCACACATGAGCATGGTGCCCAGTCCGGCAGCAAGGCTCTAGGTCCAACGCCGCTATTGAGCGGTGCAGCTAACCAAGCTAAGCAGCTGAAGTCGCGCTTCAACTCGTGGGAAAGGTTTTGTGAAGCACATCCACAGGCGCGCGTCGCCATCGCCGTTCAGTCAGGCTACTCCCACGAGATCAAGTTCTTTTGCCATCCATCGG